TTGCGCGGGCTCTTTCGGGAGTGGGGGGGGGGGCTGTGTGTCGACTGGGGGACATCAAACCATAGAAAGCCAGAGACAGAGACTTGCAAACCCCTGCTTTTTTGGGAGGGGGGGAGCTGGGTGTATGTGTGAGAAAGAGAAGCAATCCTCACGGGCTCCGCCAGTGTGATATCTTTGGTTGGTGGCGTCTCATTTGAGCGCCAGGTTCAGGAGCAGCTGCTGCCCCGTGGGGGTGGAAGGAGAAGCAGTCTGTGGCCGGGCCCTAGGACTGGAATGCCCCCCGCCCCCCAACTTGGCCCCGGTGTTGGTTGGGCAGAAAGGGTTGTGCTCAGGGGCCAAAGGATGTCGACCTGCAGAGAGCAGGAAGATTCGGCTGGGACCCCTTCCCTCCGCTCGTCTATTAACTGTCCATTCGGTCCCTTTTCTCTTTCCCCCCGCCCTGTGCTAGAGGGGGGGAACTAGCCAAAGGTATCCATCGCTCTTGGACTGGGACCCCCCAAGCATGGGCGAACAAATCCCCTTCCTCTTGCATTTTTCTCCAGAGGAGGCTGCGTGGTCACCACGCCCCCAAGCAATTAAAAAAAAAAGTTTAATCATTTCACCCCCTAGTGCTAGCTGCCTTCCGCCCCCCAGGACCCGGGCCGGTGCCTCCTACCAAAACGCGGAGTGGGATTTGCTCCTCACTGGCGCCTTAGCAGGCTCTGCCTCTTCAAGGGCACGTCCAGGCCTTCAGCTCGCCTTTCCCCACCAGATCTAAAACCTCTATAGTTTTTTTTTTCTCTCACGTGCATCGCAGGGTCAAAGTCTCAGTCCAGCGTCACCTTGAAGACCGACAAAGTATAATTCTGGTCACGCAGGGCTCTTTTCGTAGCAGGGACTCCTTTACATATTAGGCAACACCCCCCCCAAGCAATTAAAAAAAAAAGTTTAATCATTTCACCCCCTAGTGCTAGCTGCCTTCCGCCCCCCAGGACCCGGGCCGGTGCCTCCTACCAAAACGCGGAGTGGGATTTGCTCCTCACTGGCGCCTTAGCAGGCTCTGCCTCTTCAAGGGCACGTCCAGGCCTTCAGCTCGCCTTTCCCCACCAGATCTAAAACCTCTATAGTTTTTTTCTCTCACGTGCATCGCAGGGTCAAAGTCTCAGTCCAGCGTCACCTTGAAGACCGACAAAGTATAATTCTGGTGCAGGGCTCTTTTCGTAGCAGGGACTCCTTTACGTATTAGGCAACACCCCCCCTAATGTAGCCAATCCTCCAAGAGCTTACAGAGCTCTGGCTACTGTAAACTCTTGGGGGATTGGCTACATTAGGGGGGGTGTCGCCTAATATGCAAAGGAGCTCCTGCTACAAAAAGAGCCCTGGCGGCACACCCCTAAGGTAGCCAATCCTCCAAGAGCTTACAGAGGTCTTCTTACAGGGGCTACCGTAAGCTCTTGGAGGATTAGGGGTGTGTTGCCTAATATGCAAAAGAGCTCCTGCTACAAAAAGAGCCCTGAATTTTCTGGGTACCTGAAGAAGTGGGCGTGCACAAGGAAAGCTGATCCCCGGAATGAAACTTCGTTGGTCTTAAAGGTGCCGCCGGACTCGAACTCCATTCTACTGCTTCAGATCAACACGGCTCCACCACCTGAATGCATTGAAGGTGCATTCAGATGTGCAGCGGCCCCAGCACCCACGTACCAGGAGTGACATATAAGTTTGGGAGGGGTCACGTTGGGGCTGTTTCCCCCTTAGGGGACAGGGGACACGTCTGCTCCCCGGGGGCAGGCGTTGGCTGTGGGGTCCGTGGGTCCATTCCCGAGTTTTGCAACCGCAGCCAGATCTGGTCAGCTGCAGGTCTCGAGCGAGGTTCTTTGACCTCCTTCCCCCGAGGGCTCACCCTCCTTCGCTTCAGTGTCTAGTTGGCCCGTCGCTTTAGAACGTTTCCCAAACTGGTGGTCAGAAGGGGCCGTCTGCCTTGCCAGCGGGGGTGGGTGGGTGGAGTGCGCACAACCCGTTTTTCTCTAGCCCATTTGACTCGGCACCCGTGGCTTGCGTGGGAACTGCACGGGGCCGGGGCAGTAGGTGGCGATGCCCTGTCTGTCACAGCAGCTAGGGGTGTGTGTGTCTGTCACAGGAAAGCCACATTGCCTTATCCGGCACTACAGGTCTCCAGTGCTTCCTTCTCCCTGGGGAGGGGACGGGGGTGTTGTGAGACCGCGCTGGGCACCGGGAATGCCTCGCCGCCCCGGGCCGTTGAGCCGTTGGGCTTCCAAGGCCAGCCACGACACCCGAGACCGGCCGGACCGAGGCAAGGGTGCGCAGTTGTGGGTGTGCTTCCTCCCCCTCCCTCGACGTATGTCCCAGGGGCTCCAGCTTTCTCCATCTTGCTTTTTGCTGGAGATCTCTCAACCAGAAATGGGGTACGTTTTACCCAGAGCGGTGCTCAGGTACAGGTGGGCGGTAAGCATCCTTGGCTCGGTATCGGTGTCTCCAGTGGCACAGTTTTTGTTGTTGGTACGAGCGCCCTTTTGGGAGCCGGACTAAGGCAAACGCCCCACGGGGTCGCCTTGTCAACCGCTACTGCACCACAACCACAAGTCTATTTTCGTACCGTCTTGAGTGTCCACCGGTTTGTGCCACCCGGGGTGTCTTGGGAATGGTTGCCTGGCAAGGCCGGCACGGCTCCTCTGTCGGAGAGGGCCCGGCCCTGCCCTCCCTCCAGACGCCAATTCCCCACACAGCAGGAGTGACCGTCTTCCGACGCACTCCTTGAAACTGGGCTGCGAGAGTGAAGTTTGTTGGCTCTGCAGCCGGAGAATTTGCTCTTTCTCCCCGTGCCTGAAGGGCTGGCTTTTCTCAAGCGTCCCCGCTTGCGCGCCCCCCCCCCCCCCCCCCGATTATATCGCTCACGGATGTCAGAGGCTCTCCTCCTGTGCCCCGCCCCGCGGGCTGTTGAACACTGGACGAGAATAATAATGAAACCATGTAGACATTGTACATAGCGACTGTACACCTGTTTAACACTATTTTGTAAATCTTTCTAATAAAAACAAAATTCCAAATGAGTTGTTCTGATTTGGGGGGGGGCTGCAGCTGGGCCGGGGTCTTCTGGTAAAAGGACAGCACCCTTTAGTCCATGGGTTGGAGTCCCCTACAACATGAATATTACATATTTAATATTTGATTTTTAACTGCATCAGAATTGCAGGGTGGGTGGGGAATCTCACTGTTTAGGTCTTGCTTTCTGTAGGCAGTAAGACTTAAAGAAGGAGAGAAGAGAAGATTGGATTTATACCCCACCCTTCAGTACCTGAAGGAGTCTCAGAGCGTCTTACAATCCCTTCCCCTTCCCCTCCCCACAACAGACACCCTGTGAGGTTGGTTCCCTCTAAGCTGTGGAGTCTTGTGAGCAAAAATTCTTCTTTGTGAGCTGCTCGCATTAAAGTTGTGAGCCGAGCGATTTGGCTGCTGCATAAATTAGTGTGCTCTGGAGCCCTCCTTCCTGAGCTGAGACAAAAATGTGTGAGCTGGAGGCTAAAAAACTGAGCTAGCTCACACTGACTCAGCTTAGAGGGAACACTGCCTGTGAGGTAGGTGGGGCTGAGAGAGCTCTGACAGAAACGGCTCTTTTTTGTGAACAGCTCTTATCAGAACTACGGCTTGCCCAAGGTCATCCAGCCAGGTGCAAGCGGAGGAGTGGGGACTCAAACCCGGTTCTCCCAGATTAGAGTCCGCGCACTTAACCACGACACCGAACGAAAGAATGTCCAAAGGGCAGGGTTTTAGAGGGTTTTTTTTAAAAAAGTTTTAGTGTAATGAATAAAAGGTCCCTTGTTTGGGGATGTTAGTCCACCTTCTTCACTGGGACTTAGGGTAGTTTGGGAGTACAAAAAGGCTTTAAAGGGGGATTCGGCAGATTCATGGAGGAGAGGTCTGTCGGTGGCTACTAGCCTTGCTGACTGAAGAAGAAGAAGAAGAGCTTGGATTTATACCCCACCCTTCACTCAGAGTCTCAGAGAGGCTTACAAACTCCTTTCCCTTCCCTTCCTCTCCCCCCCCCACCCCACAAC